TCCTATTATCTGTCACACTAGAGCCTAGCACAGCACTTCATAAAAAGGTATGCACCCAAGAAGTTTTGAGGACAATGTAAGCATATCAAGAACTAGTTCAGAGTTGGGCATGATGGTGCACACCTTTAGTCCTGGCACTTGGGAGGCAGAGACAGGTGGATCTCTGTGAGATCAAGGCTAGCTTGGTCTTCATAGAGAGTTCCAGGCCAGCTGGGACTACAGAAAGACTTTGTCTCCCAAAATACAGAAAAAAAGAAAGGAAGGAAAGAAGATAAATAGTTCAGGGGGACTGGAGAGATGGTTCAGTAGTTAAGAGCACTGGCTGCTCTTGCAGAGGACTCGGGTTCAGTTTCCAGTATCCACATAGTGGATAACAATCGTCCATAACTTCACAAGGGATCCAACATCCCCTTTGGCCTCTGTGGGCACTACACATAGAGGTGCACTTACATACATGCAGGAAAAACACTCATACACATAAAAATAAATAATTTTCTTAATTTGAAAAAAATAAATAGGGGCTGGAGAGATGGCTCAGTGTTTAAGAGCACTGACTGCTCTTACAGAGGACCCGGGTTTGATTCCCAGCACCCACAGGTGGCTATAAACCATCCTTAACTCCAGTTCCAGGGGAATCCAAAGCCCTCTTCTGACCTCTGCGGCATTGCACAATACGGGTGCACTCACATACATGCAGGCAATACACTCCTACACATAAAATAAAAATAATAAAAAAATTTTTTTAAAAAGAAACAAAGTTCAGGCCTGAGAATATAACATAGTGGTATAAGAGCTGACTGGTATGCACAAGGCCCTAAGTTCAATACAGTGAGAGAGACAGAGACAAAGACAGAGACAGCAACAGAGAAAGAGACAGAGACAGAGAGAAAGGAAATGGGTGATCCTTTGTTACTATTGTATGCTCAACAGTTTAAAGAATGGCATATTTTAACAGCCAGTCTGACAATGACTAACTGTTATGAGAATGCAATTTTTTGATGTTTTTGGAGACAGGGTCTCTCTGTAGCTCCAGCTCACCTGGAACTCCCTATGTAGACCAGGTTGGCCTTTATCTCACAGAGATCTGCCTGCCTCTGCCTCTCGAGTGCTGGGATTAAAGGCATGCACCATTGGCAATTTTTAATTTGTGAAATGAACATTTCAATTATTCTTGGTGGAGAAATCATATTTTAAAATATTATATCTGAAATAAACACACCAATATAAATGTGGCTTTTGTCTTTCTACATCTGGCTTTTTCTCTTAGCAGAGCAGAAAAGAAATAAAAGCTAACTGGAATTACCAGAACATTTTCCACTTGAAATATGGGATTATTTTTTATTTGGCACAAGTATAAATAGCACTTCTTTCAACTATTTAATGCATATTTAATTATCACTTTTATAGTACTCCTACATTAAATTTCATTAGCCAAAACCAAGTTACAGTTCTTCAGCATGGTGGTCAAAAGGCTGCTAGATCAGCACCATGGACAGAGGACGGGTGATGGCTGGAACTGAGGCTGCTTGTAAAACGGCAGCTGTGGTGACAGATGTTCTGCCAAAGAAACACTGGACTAAGTGCTCTTCTTAGGATCACAGAAAGAGAAGTCTCTGGACTTGAATCTACTCAGAGGATGGAGATTTTCAGAAAGCAGCCACTCCTCCAAAGGGTCTCCAAGTTGCATTTATTGACATGTATATGGATTCACTTCTTTGCTGACAATCTGCTCTTCTGCTTTCAAAACACAAAGACTCATGCTGAAGTAAACACAATACCTAATTAGCAGATGTGGGACATTTGTTCTTTCACTTGCCAAGTGTCTATGTCCTTTCTCCTTTACAAGCCTCCCTTCAAAATAATTACTAATAAACATGGAGTGGGTTTATGATATTACTGAAGTTATGCTTAAAATCAGGGCCCCTGATTTTCAACAATACATTCTGATGTTTACACAGAATATAACGTGAGGTTTGGGAGTTGCTTCAAAGTAGTCTGGAATGAGGAAAGAGGGCAGATGTACACCCAGGAGAATGGGAAGGTGGATTGGCCACAAGCTGCTAAGTGTTAAAGCTGGAGGATGGGAACATTAGTTAATTCTACTTTTTAGTATGTTTGAAATTTCCCATCACAATACATACATGGGTATTACTGAGGGGTTACCAGGCACAACAATATTTCCCAAAGATCATAAGGTTCTGCATCTAAGAATGAAAAGCATGTCTAAATGCCATCTGCACCAGGTGGAACAGTAAAGAGGCTGGGACTTCCCCAGGCAGATCTGAGATTTTTGTCTTGCTTAAGTCTAGGTGACAAAGTAAGAAGTTCAGAAATCTGAGGATGATTGCTTTCTTATGGATAAAGATGTCCCAGAAGAGCAATCTCTTAACCAAAAACAAATGAAAAGCTTTCCAGGCACCAGCCCCAACAAGAAAAATCAAGAAGCCAGGAGTGGAAGCACTGGGCTCAGTGCATAGAGTGCCTGATAGTGGGGCCAAGGTCAAGTTGCTAACTAAACCAATCTCTCTCTCTCTCTCTCTCTCTCTCTCTCTCTCTCTCTCTCTCTCTCCCCTCCCTCTCTCTGCTTAAATGAGATTGATAAGTGGAGGGAAACAAGACATGACTCCAAGAGCACTTAGATGAACAGGAACTAAAACATGAAGAGGGTAGAATGGTGCAAAAGGAAGAAACGTCTATGTGTGCCTGGAGGTGGGGCCTCCTGCAGCAGCCAGGTCAGAATCAAGGAAGTAGCCAGTAGCTGGCAGGGCAGAAAGTGTAAATGTGCTTCCGAAACTATGGAAACTATGCAGGCCTGGGAGGAAACGTTCAGACATCTGCAGATGAGGCTGGCTGACTGCCTACTAAGTGTGAGGCAGTGAGTTCAGCTCCTAGCACAAAGCAGCGGGGGTGGGGGTGCTTTCCGCCCAGGCATAATGGTGCATATCTGTAAACCCAGGACCCCAGACACAGAGGCAGAAAGATCACAAGCTCAAGGCCACTCTGGGCTACATAGCAAGATTCTGTCTCAAAACAATTATTTTAAGCCCAGCTTCATATTCCATTAAGCCAACATTCTAGTGGGGGAAACAGATAAATGTATATTCCAGTTACTCAAAATTGTGATTATTTCACCTGAAGACTATTAGCCAGCTAACTGCTCAGGTGGTTACGGTGACCTGGCAAGATTTGGTCAATTTTCCAGTCTGGCAACAAGAGGCTAACTAGACCTAACAGGTTCTTCCTAAAAGCAAGACAGAGAATCTTGAGTTCATTCCTTAATGCCCCCCGTCCCCAATTTTTGAGACTGGGTCTCTTGCAGCCCCTGAGGCTGGCCTCAAACTTACAATGCATCTAAGAGTAACACTGAATTACTGATCTTTCTGCCTCCACTTCCCGAGTTCTGGGATTACAAGCATGTGCCACCACGTCCAGCTACCTAATGTCTCTGCCTACTTCACACACTTCTCTCTCCCTGGACCCAACAAGCCTTCAAGTTTGTGAACCCCTGCTCCTTAATGACCTTAACACCAACAAATGGCCTACAAACATATAAAAGTCCCTCTTATTTTTATTTTATGAGTGTATTGTCTGCATGTATGTAAGTGCATCCACGTAGTGTTCTGCAGTGCCCACAGAGGTCAGAAGAGGCATTGGATCCTCTGGAACTGGAGTTACAGACAGTTGTTAGCAGCCATGTGGGTTATGGGAATTGAACCCAGGTCCTCTGGAAGAGCAGCCAGTACTCTTAATCACTGAGCCATCTCCCCAGCCCCAAAAGGCCGTCTTCTTATCTGAACCTGGGTTGCCATATAACTCACAGTCATCTTCAGCACTTCCATCATCCTATTGAAGTCTCAATGTCCTAAATCCTAAAATGGGGGCAATCCCATTCTCTTTATGGGATTTCCAAGAGAACTGACCTTTGCTTCATTCATACTTTGTCCTTGGGAGCTCATCTCTGGTAATGCCTCTTCAAAGAAATTTACCAAGACCTCTTGCCCGATCAAATCTCTCTTGATGTGTCTCTCTCCTTGGAAGGGCTCACCAGTTACCACAGAACATTAGTTTGTTAATGTTAATTTAATTAATGCTTACCACTCTCACGAGACTGAAAACTCAAAAATGGTGGGGGTTCCTGGTTTTGTTCACCATCACCTAACGGCAGGCATGTCAGGCATGAAACCAGTACTCAAATACTATTTTGAAAAGAAACGTAATTGGAAGACAAGCTGTACGGTGACATACTAGATGCACACTAGACGCACCCTAGATTCTTCCGGACCCTCCTTCAATCTCTGCCTTTTACGCATGTGGTACCCTGAGTATCTGGGATGCTAGAATCAAACTCTAAATTTCTGTAAAGTCACTGACCTGTTTTCTAAAAAGCTTTCTACCTCTGAGACCAAGAGTTTGCGTACTGATGCATGCCAAGAGCCTAAAACACTGCCTGACACATAGCAGACACTCAATAAACACACGTATGAGTGGAAACACGTAGGTTCTGGGACACCCAGCTATGAAATTTTGCAGCAACGGAGAGAATGTTGACCTGCTCCTACCAAGTCCCAAAGATCCCTTTTGATCATGCTTGGTCACTCGGACCTCCCCAGAGCCTTGGGAAACGAGAGTCCCGGAAAAGGAAAAGACCAGCGCTCCAGGTTGGTCCCAGCTGCACCACGCCACCAAGGATGAGACTGCGGCCTTGATCCCTCCGCAAGACGAAAGAGTCCCATCCCGCATGCCCTTCCGTGCAGAAATGGCTCCCGGCGGCGTCTGGTGTCCCGGCGTCCCCTCACCGTGTCCCTCCGCCTCACAGAGCATCTCTCGCATCCTCCGTCCTAAAGTCCCTCAGCTGCAATTCACGGCACTATTCGCTCTCGCGAGAGTCCACCCCACAGTCCGCTGGCCCGCGAGGAAGCCAGGCGCGGCCCCTGCGGCGAGCGGTCGCGGGCGGCGCATGCGTGGCCACGACTCCCAGCGCCCCCCGCGCTCTCCACGGGCCGAGCTGACGAGGCCGTAAGCCGGCCGGTCGCCGCCCCCCGCGAGGCCTCGCTTCATTCGCAGCTTTTTAGTCCCTCCGGGGCCGAGCCGCTTGGTGGCCTTTTCTGGTTCTGAGGAGGATCCCCTAGGCCCACGGCCCCTCCGCGAGCGCCGTCCCGAACACTCGGGATCTCACTGGACACCTGTCGCGGCCTGGTGACCCGGGCTCGGAACCCTGGGCCGGCCGGGCCTGCGAGTGGGCTGGAACGGCTTTTGGGGCCTTGCGGTCCTGGGGCTGGCTGACACACCCCCTCCAGGTCGGTCGCCTCTGCCCAGCCTGCCGTGGTGCATCCGGTCTTCGGTCCATCCCGTCCTCAGTCAGTCCATCCTATCCAGTCCTGATCCATCTCATCCGTCCTCCGTCCATCCTGCCTCTAGTCCCGTGCTTCCTCCCAGCCCAGTCTCTCTCTCTCTCTCTCTCTCTCTCTCTCTCTCTCTCTCTCTCTCTCTCTCTCTCTCTCTCGATGCACCCTAGAGAACCTCTTTGAATGGACGTGTCTTGATTGGAGAAGAGGTGGGGTTTGCAGACTTTTAGGTACACTTTCCCCTTTCCAGGAGCCTGGTACAGGTTTCACTCATCAGCCTGGACTCCCTTGTTCCAGCTGACGTGTTTGACTTGTCATACTCCTAAGGACGTTAAGTAAGGGGCTTCTGGACGCTTCTCTGAGCCCCGACCTAGAGCTAGACGTCCTGACCCCGGGTTGGATCATGGCTACAGCTCTGGACCCTCAGATCGACGTGGAAGTTGAGGAGTGCCTCATAATGAAAGTGGAGAAGGACTCCGAGTGGACGTCGGAGCCCGTTTTGAAAGGATTGGGCAGCACTGAATGTGAGTCGTTTCGTAAATGCTTCCGGCAGTTCTGCTATGAGGATGTGGCGGGACCCCATGAGGCTTTCAGTAAACTCTGGGAACTTTGCTGCCGGTGGTTGAAGCCAGAAATGCGTTCCAAGGAACAGATCCTGGAGCAGCTGGTGATTGAACAGTTTCTCACCATTTTGCCTGAGAAGATTCAGGCTTGGGCACAGAAGCAGTGTCCGGAAAGTGGAGAGGAGGCTGTGGCCCTGGTGGCTCATTTGGAGAAAGAGACCAGACGACTGAGACAGCAGGTGAGGATTTTTTCCAGGCTTTTGTGTTTTCCAGTGAAGGGAATGGAAAAGGCAGATGGGCAGGGCGCCACTGCTGGAAGAAATGCTTATTATAGCAAGATAAACGGTACTCAGAAAAGATCCTTGAAGTGAAGCCACCGAAAAGCACATTCGAATTTCATAGTGAAATGGAAAAAATGTTTTGGTTGAACTATTATCTTGCAAATGAAACTAAAATTATGTCCCTAAATATTATATATATACATATATATACACACATTATATCCTTGGTAGAGTAATAGGGTCTGTCTTCTGTGGGGAGGAAGATGTCATGAGCTACCCCAGGATCTGCTCTAATCCTTTAGTATTCCAGCCATTGTCTTATGAAGTGCCTTCAGTGCCGTGATCCTTGGCACTCATCCCATTTAACTGCCAGGTCGTCATTGCTCAGTGTCCTTGCACGCTGCTGTAGCTATTTTCAACGCCCTTTCATTAGCCTCATGAAATTCACAGCCTTTGCCAGATTTGTGCTTTCACCTTGCATGGGTTTTCTAATTTTTCAGTTTGAGTGGATCTATTTGAGTTCTGATTGCTTCTCTGTAAAGCTGGGAGGTTCAGGGTCTATGCTAATAAGAAAGGCTGTGAATTTCACTGCTGACAGATTTTCCTTCTCTGTGTAGCAACAGAGAGCACACTACTATTCCCTTATGCCCAAACTGCTGGACAGTACTCTGAGACCATTTCTGTCTGTGCAAGGAATGGAATCTTTATTCCTTCTTGTCTTGTATCCTTTAATATCCTTATTGGAGGATTTGGCCTTGATTTACACTTCCTTTCCTCCCCTTCTCCATTATGATATTGATTTTATTTTGCAGGTCAATAGTCCCATACACTCAGAGAAGCAAGCCCCTCTTGGAACTGCATGGGAAGTAGCTAACTTTGAGCCAGAGCAAGTGGAGATGCCACACAGGGTTGTTTCTCGGGAGGAAGCCAGAAGTCTCCACTCAGGACACCAAGAACAACTGAACCGAAAAAGAGAGCATAGGCCCTTACCCAAGAATGGTAAGAAGGACTCAAAGCACACCCAGTGCAGAGACCATGTAGATTTGCATTGTATCCCTCACACTTTGGTGAAAACAAATGAAGTATTTGGAAAGAAAAATTTTATCTGCTTCAAGAGTTGGAAACATGTAACAAACGTAGAAAGGGATCATAAAGATGGAAACTAGGAAGACTTAGATTGTCCAAAGCAGCCTTGGATCTTCTTGAGTTATTTTAAAATCTCCATCCTACATTCAGTTTGTTTTTAGTCAATGCCATGTGTATGTACTCTTGGCTGACTACACATAACTTGGGAAAGCTGTACAGAAAAGGAAACGAGATATTTACATTCCAAAATTGACTCACAAGTGATATATGAGAGGGATAAATAGTAAGATTTCCCAAACAAAGGATGCCAACATCCAGAACTACCCTAGATGTGAATAAAACAAGTCAGATACAAGGAATAGAGCCATCCTGTCCTTCCAATCCAGTTACCTTTCCATCTCCTGAAGTGTGGCTTCATCTCAGGCCTGTAGAGAAGAGTGGAAGGATCATTGAGCACACTGTCGAAAGACTTGATTTGTGTCTTGTCTCTGCCTCCCACTCTATACTCGGACAGGCACTACGACGAACTTTAATGCTTAGAGGTTAAGATCCTGGTATATAACCCAGCTCTCCCATTTTTATTTGTGTGACCTGGATCAAGTTATTTCTCAAACTTCCCATGCTTTCCTTGGTAAAAGGGAAAATAGCAAGGTTCTTGGTATAGACTTAAGAGGCAGTGTAAAATGTCCAACACAGAATAGTGTTCAATTAATATTTCCTTTTTCTCATAATCACAAAATTATTTTTAAATTTCATCTCTGACTCACAAAAGTTTTTGCCAAGAGGAAATAATCACAATGGCCATACCCCACTGTTCTACCCAGCCCCAAATAATAGAATGTGCTGCAAATATTGGTGGATTCTGAATTTTCCAGTGTGCATTAACACCAAAACTCTCTTGATCACATGAGTTAGATGGCTCCAGTGACTTTAGCTGATGAGCTTAGTGAGACGTACCTATTTATGGTGTTTCTGGACTTTGCTATCCAAGGTGATTAGGAACTTCAACAGTGTAAAAGTCTGTTAAGTATTGACTGGGGAGTGGAGGACAGAAATTTGAGGGATATCTCAGAAAGATGTTAAGGAATATCTATGATTTCAACCATGTGCTTTACAGAGAATGTTTCCAAGAAAATGATTTTTGCTTCTCTAGAAAGTAGCTCTAGCTTATTTATTTTTATGTGTGAGTTTTGCCTGCATGTCAATGTACCCACATGTGCAATACCTACAGAGGCCAGAAGATGGCATCAGATCCCCTAGAACTGAAGTTACAGAAGGTTGTTAGCCACAAGTGGTGCTGAGAACCAAACCTAGTCCTCTATAAGAGCAGCTGGTGCTCTTAACTGCTGAGCCATTTCTTCAGCCCCTGGCTCTAGCTTTTGACTTCTTATCACAAGTAGCAGTTGCTCTTGAAGTTTTCCCTGGTGAGTTCTCAGGAAGAGGTTTGACCACTGACATTGCTATATAAAAGTTTCTATGTCTCCCTTCTACCCTACAGGGGTGGTTATTTACCTGTTGTGTTTATTACTGTATCTATTTGCTAAGTTCTCAGGACAATAGTCATAGATCCTTGACTTAATGCTAGCAATGACAAACTTGTAACTTGCACACCAAATCACACTTTTTTTTGTTTCACCTACAAAAAAAAATTTTGTTTAGGATTTGTTTTTTAAGTTTTCAAGGTTTAAGATTTGAGATTTCACAAAAGACTCATTATTTCTTGCTTTTCTCAGAAAAAGTCAGAAGCTATGGTTCTTCCAGTGCCATTCTCATACTGAAGCATCAGCTAGAGCCGAGCATTGACTGTGCCCTTCAGTGGAGCATGTGCTCTCCAGTTCCCCCAGTCCCAGCCTGGCGTATCTCTTCTGGTGCTTTACCTGCTTTTTCCATGAAAGTTTTTGAGTTTATGGGTCCAGCATTAGGATAGGGTAGATTTAGGCATTGCTCTGAACTCATTGAAAAAAACTCCTCAACTTCTGAGTAGCATTTATTTAGTTGTTTATTTAATGGGTATGGGTGTTTTCCTGTATGTAAGTGTACTACATGCTTGCAGTGCCTGCAGAGGCCAGAAGAGGGCATAGGATCCCCTGGAACTGGAGTTAAAATGGCTACTAGCCACAGTTTGGGGGCTGCAAATCAATTTCAGGTCCTCTACAAAAGCAGACAAAACGAGAAGCAGTGTGAATCCAAGAAACAAAGCCTTTAATGTTATATACCATAATTGTTTCTTCTCTTTTTATAGCTCACTCTTCTATCTGGGTTCCTGTCCCTACTGATGAGTGGAACACTGTAGATCAGGAGGTGTCAATTCAGGTAACTTATTCCTACATAAATTTTAGTTGTCTTCCTTGGCCTTCCTAGGGTGTTCAGTCGCAGTTACTTCCTGTGCTTTTACTATCCACAGTATTTTATACTTCTTCCAGGAGAATTTTTCCCTCATTTCTTTTCTAGAAAAGATTGAACTCTGTCTTCTGACTAATGGAACTCCTTGCTGATCAGCTCCCTTGTGTCATCTCATCCTATCCTTCTGCTTCCTTTGGCTCACAATACACATTTGTCTCCTTAACTTCATTCTTCTTAAGGCCCTTTTGATTTCCTCCACTGCTATTGTCTTGATAGTCACTGTTACTATTGTTACAGGAACCAGTAAAAGATGGCCACACAATGAGAAGTTTTTCCCATAAAAACAGTATGCATCAGATTCCTACTCACAGAGACCTCTACCAAGAAATCAGAAAGGAAAGTTCTGGGAGCGTGGTCTCCCTACGTAAGTATTCTTTCCCTTTGAAAATAATAGACTTGAGGATTTCTTATATATTCATCCCCCCTGGTAATAAAATAGTTGCAGATGTTATTGCTTAAAAGATCCCTAATGTTTGTCTAGTGTAACCATTTATCTGTATTCTCTTACCCCACCCATCCACTCTTTCCAGTAAGAAAAAACTATTATGATAATTTAGTAGTCAAAGCATTAGAGAGAGGGACTGGAGAGATGGCTTAGAGGTTAAGAGCACTTGCTGCTCTTTCAGAGGACCTACGTTTAGTTCCCAGCACCCACATGGTGGCTAAACACCATCCGTAACTCCAGTTCTAGGAATCCTATGCCCTCTTCTGGTCTCTGCAGGCAATGCACACATGGTATACTCAAAACACTCATACACATAAAATAAAAATAAATATTTTAAAAACATTGAGAGGGGCTGGAGAAATGGCTCAGTGGTTAAAAGCACTGGCTGCTCTTGCAGAAGACCTGGGTTTGGTTCCCAGCACCCACATGGCAGCTAACAACCATCAGTAACTCCAGTTCCAGGAGATCCAACATGTTCTTCTGGCTTTTACAGGCATTTCATGACATGGGCACATTTATATACATGCAGGCAAAACAGTCATACACATAAATAGAAAATAAAACATTGGCAAGAGAGTCATTATAAATGACTACCATATCTGTATTACAGAAAATACAAATTTATATCCTGTAGACTAAAGGTCTCTGAAGTCACCAGATCTTTCTACAGCTTGTTTTTATTTAATAACAGTGGTGACCAGGCATGGTAGCCTAGGCCTTTAGTCCCAGCACTTGGGAGACAGAGGCAGGCAGATGTCTGGGAGTTTAAAGCCAGCCAGGTCTCCACAGTGAGTTAGGCCAGCTGGGGCTATAGGGAGACCCTGTCTCAAAAAGACCTAAAAAATAAACAAATAAATAACCTCAACACCTAACATAGAACTGCCTAACTGCCTAAAATCATGTGGGTAGGAATCCAGTAAATATTTTTGGATGGATAGAAATGTCAAAATTTTAAGAAAAAAAATAAGCTAAATACAATAATCAAAGTAGCATATGGTAAATCATTTAAATGGCACAAGTACAGGCACACATGATCACTAAAATATTCTACAAGTAGGTTTTTAGAGGATTATCTCCATCTGCTTTAACAGGAGGGATGAGTGTTACTAATTCACATGTGAATTTTTATTTATAAATCAGAAACTAATGAGTAAAATTATATGCCAGGACCAGGGAGGTAGTTCAGTGAATCTTATTTGCAAGCATGAAGACATGAGTTTGGTCTCAAAAACCCATGTTTTTAAAAAGTCAGGGGTAGCTGGGCATGGTGGTGCACACTTTTAATTCCAGTACTCAAGAGGCACAGGCAGACAGATCTCTGAGATTGAGGCAGGCCTGGTCTACAGAGCGAGTTCCAGGCCACCTGGGGCTAAAAGGACACCCTGTCTCAACAAAAAAGTCAGGGGTGGTAGCATGTGCTTGTAATTTCACTATGGGATAAAACAGAGACAGGCAGATCCTAGGTGCTCACTGGCCAGCCAGCATCACCTACTTAATGAGTTCTAGATCACTGAGAACTTGGTTAAGACCCTGTCTTAAAAAAGACAATGTCTAAGGAATGACATGTGACATTGTCTTCTGACTTTTTCCACACATTGCTCACAAGTGCACCTGTACTTGTGTGAAGTTGGATGGCACCTGAGGAACCACACTCAAGGCTTTGCTCTGCCTTCCACACACACAGGCACACATACATGTACATGTACCCACACACACATACGTATACACATACAAAAAGTTATAGGCTAAAAATGTACACTAATACCAATTTATAATTGTGCCAATTTTATACATTTAACCAATGTATAAAATATATACATTATAAATACTATAATCCTATACTGTCTGGTAAGTAACCACTAGCCACACATAGCAATTTAAGTTTATTACATTAATTAAAATTAATCAAAACTTTAAATTCATTTCCTTAGTGTCAGCCATATTCAATTGCCATATTGGGTGGCACACTTGTCAAACATTTCTATCACCACAAAAATTTCTACTGGACAGTCTGAATATAGACATTAAAATACAGAAATTAAGGCCAGTGAGATGGCTCAGTAGGTAAAGGTGCTTGCTGTCAAGCCTAACAACCTGAGTTCAGAGACCCTCATGATGGAAGGAGAGAACCAAATTCCTCAAGTTGTCCTCTGACTTCCACACACACAAATTTTTAATATGCAGATTATAAAATGAGTCATCAGGAATGGATAAAGACAGATCAACAATTGTCTATTACTAGAAAGCAGTTACAGCAGTGGGGGAAATGACCAGTTTAAAATGTTACACAAGTAACAAAGCACTCTCCAAAAAATAACAGGTATCCCATCCATCTGCCTACTTGTGCACATAATACATGTTTCCTACCATTTCCTTGGACCACATAGTATACAGACCTAGTAAAATGCTGAACTAGAGTCCTTACTGAGATCTGCCACAAGTGGAGAGGGACTATACTGTGAGAATTCAGATTCATCCTAAATCCTTATGTGTAATTTCATATGGAAAGATCTAGGCCCAGAGATACCTGCCCCAGTCTTTTTTTGTAGATTGCAGATTAATGGATTAGCAATCTATGATACTTTTGTCTGCATAGTGTTTTAATTTAAAATTAGTGTAAAAATTTGAATTTCCAGTGTGTCTTGGAAAAATGCAACTGTCAGCCTACCTTCCTGCTTAGCAGTATTGGCCAGAACTAAATAAAGGGCTCAACTCCCCTAGTTCCTGCTCTAGCCCACCTCACTCATTGCCTTGCCTGAATAGATTTATGTGCCTGAGTTTGCATGGCTCCTCACCTACTTCCCTCCTGTAAAAACAAAGAGAAAGAGAGAGAGAGAGAGAGAGAGAGAGAGAAAGTCTCTTCAGGAATGGTGTGATTTGATGTTGCTTCTCTAGGAGAATCCTGTAAAGTTTCTATGTGTGCTGTGTGGAAAAGAAAACTAAATTTCATTATATGTGCATTGGGTACTAAATACTATATAGAGAACTATGCATTGACTTAATGATTTTTCCCAGCATCTCTTTGTTTTTGTTTTGTTTGTTTTGTTTTGTTTTTTGTTTGAGACAGGGTCTCCCTCTAACCCCAGCTGGCCTGGAATTCACTATGTAGACCAGGCTGACTTCAGTCTCACAGAGATCTGCCTGCCTCTACCTCAAGAGTGCTAGGATTAAAGGGGTGTGTCACCACACCTACCCCCACCCCCATCACCTCTTTGAATAGATGCTGTTATTCCTCAGGGTATAGTGAGATTAAGAATCTTGCCCTGACCAAAAAGTAAGGTCAGCATTGTGACTGAGATGCAGATTTAGGACATGTTGATCTCCTTAGTATTGTAGGATAGCAAACACAAAATTTGTTTCATGTTCTTACAGTTCTTTTCTGTTAGTATTAGTAGGGAGTTTCTTAGCTAATGAAATGCTTTACTTACTTTCAAAAAATATTTACAAAGCACATATCTGTACCTGTTAAAATGTGAACTCACCAATTATTTTTCTTCCTTCGTATAATAGAAATAGGAATTGGAGAGATGACTCAGTGGTTAAGAGCACTGGCTGCTCTTATAGAGGACCCAGGTTCAATTCCCAGCACCTACATGGCAGCTAACAACTCCCTGTAACTCCAGTTCCAGGGGAATCCAACACCCTCTTCTGACCTGCACAGGCATTGCACAACACAGGCGCACTTACACACATGCAAGCAATAACTCACACAAAAAATAATAAAATAGTTTTAAAATAAATAAAATAGAAAGTAAATTTTAGTCTCTATGAAGGAAAAAAGTGTTTGATGTTTCTCAGACCATGAAGCTAAATTATAAGGCTTATTTTTCCCTACCCTTAACATTTTTAAAGCAGAACAGCTTGACTTTATTTATTTGTCTAATTACAATTTTGTATGAAAATTAGTTTCTTCTGCCAAAATTTTTCCAACCTCATTATCATATAATTGGCAAATAAAATTTTGTGTAATTAAGATGTAGAACTTGATTATTTTATATGCATTATTCACTAATAACCACAACTAATATATCCATTCATCACCTTTCATAATTAATGGGAAAGACACTTAAAATCTCTCAGCAAATTTGAAGTGTGTTATACAGTATTATAAACTATAAAGCATCATTGGAGCCCTGGAATAGATTCCGCCTATAGCTGAATATATTTTTTTAACCAATATTTCTCTATCTTCCCCATCTCAAAGCCTCTGGCAACCACTGTTCTTTCTTTTGTAAGTTGGGGGTTTTTAAGATTCTACTTAAAACTGAGATCATACAGTTTATATGATCAAGATGTTTGTCTTTCTCTGTCTGGCTTACTTCACTTAGTAAAACGCTCTCTAGGTCCATTCAGGGTATCCCAAATGGCAGAATTTCTTTCTTTTCTACAGTTCTTGTCCACATTGCATTTTACAATAGATTTTTTTCCATTTTTTCACATGTTCTTTAATCATCCATTGACAGGTATCCAGGGTTTTTCCACATCTCAGACATTGTGGATGATGCTACAATGAATAATGCTACAATGAGCATGAGAGTGCTGACACTTCAGGATACTGATTTGCTTTCCTTCACGGAGATATCCAGAAGTAGGAGAGCTGGGTCTTGTAGTAGCACTATTTTTGATCTTTGAGGAAGCTCTTTACTCTGTTCCACAGTGACTGTACCAGTTTGCATTCCAGCCAACAGAGTACTGGCTTCCCTTTCCTCTACATTCTCACCAGCACCTGTTATCTTTTATTATGATGCTAACCGTTTTAACAGATGTAAGGTACTATCTCACTGTGGTTTTGATTTTATTTTTCATGTTAATAATATTTAGCACCTTTTCATAAGCCTATTCATCATTTACACCTCTTATCTGATAAGATTCTTTGCCCATCTTTTATTATTGTTGAATTTTTGTGGTTTATATACAATAGAATTTGATCCCCTCCCCATCTACACTTCCCTTTATTGCCACCTGCCCAATTTAATGTAGCCTATTATATATTTAAAATAAGGTCTATGGAGTCTTAAGTAGTGTTCGCAAATGTCCTTGAGTATGGGTCCATCCGCTAGAGCCTGATTAACCTACCAAGAGACCCATCCTTGAAAGAGACTATCTCTGCCCCTCTCAGCAGCCATCCATTACCATGATTTTTCTTAGGTTGGGTTGGGGTTTCTTACGCACTTTCCCATGTCTGTGCTGGGATTTTACCTGGTTTGAGCTTACATGGGACTTGTGCATTCTTTTACCATTGCTGTTCATATGAGTAACTGATCAACTGCTTGGAAAACTGTTTCCCTGTGACCGCTCAACCACCTTCTCTGTCTCTTACAATCTTTCTGCCCCTCTTCCACAATGATCCCTGAGTCTTGGGAGGCAGAAGTTTGCTATAGGTTTCCTGTTCAGGGATAAGCAGTGCGCTAAATAGCTTTAGTGTCAGCTTGACACACCTGGGTTGAGGGAGCCTCAATTGGGGAATTTCCTTGATTGGACTGGCCTGTGGCCATGTCTGGGTTATTTTCTTGATTGTTGAGTGATGTGGGAGGGCCCAGCCCACTGTGGGTTGTGCCACCCCTGGGCAGGTGGGCCTGTGTTGGATAAGAGAGAAAGCTGAGCAGGGGCCAGGGGAGCAAGACAGTAAGCAGCATTCCTCCATAGCCTGTGCTCCAGCTCCTGCTTCCAGGTTCCTGCCCTGAGTTCCTACCTTGGGCTCCCTGATGAACTGTGACCTGGGAGATGTAAGCTGAATAAACCCTTTCCTCCCCAAGTTGGTAGTGGTCAGAGTGTTGTGTCACAGCAGTGGAGAAACAGACTAAGACAAGCAGTCTGCAGCCTCTTGTCCAATTTTTATCGGATTTCTTTTGCTATGAGTTGTATAATTCCTTGTATATTTTAGATTTTAACCTCTTACCATATATATGGTTTGTAAGTATTTTCTCCTTTACTGTAGGATGTCTCTTCACTTTGTTGTTTATTTTCTTTGTTGTACAGAAGCTTTTATCGCCTGTACTTTTGGTGTTATATGCCAAAACACATTTCTAAGACCAGTGTCACATGGCTTTTTCCCCTATGCTTTCTTCTTGGGATTCTCTGGTTTCGGGTCTTATGCTCAGGCTGCGTGTGTGTGTGTGTGTGTGTGTGTACATGTTCATGTAGATATACATATATACAGATGTATATGGACATGTTGGAAGGTCAGAGGTCGATGCTGGATATCTTCCTCAATTGTCTTCTACCTTATTTTTTGAGATATGGCCTCTCACTGAACCTGGAGCTTGTCAATTTAGCTAGAATGGCTGTCCAACAAGCTTGAGAGAGCCTTCTGCTGGGATTACAGGCATGTGGCTCCACACCTGGGTTTTATGTGAGTGCTAGGGAGTAAACTCAGGTCCTCATGCTTGCACAGTAAGCACTTTACCAACTAAACATTCTCACCAGCCATGTTTAGGTCTTTAATACAGTCCAAGTTGATTTTTTGTGGATAGTATAAGATAATGGTCCAGTTTTACTCTTGCATGTGGATATTCAGTTTTCCCAGCATTGTTCATTGAACAGATTCTCCTCTTCTTTGTCAAAGAGTAGTTGATCATATACAGATGGATTTATTTCTGGACTGTCTATTATGTTTCAGTTTCTTGGTTTTTTGTTTTTTGTTATATTTTTATATCATATGTATGAATGTTTTGCCTGCATGTATGTAATTGCACCTATTTCATGCATTGTCCATGAAGGCTAGAAGAAGGTGTTGGATCTCCTGAAACTAGAATTGCAAGTGGTTATTAGCCACCCAGTGCTCTTAACTGCTGAGTCATCTGTCCAGCCGCTCGTTTTCTCTGTTTTTATAGCAATACCATACTGTTTGACTAATACAGTTCAATAAAATTCTTCTCTAACAGCCCCAGTTGGATATATATGAGTATACGTGTGTGCGTGTGTGTGTGTGTGTGTGTGTGTGTGTGTGTGTGTGTGTGTGTGACAGAGAGGACTGATAAGACACATACATAAATGAAGAAAACAAATGCTACACCAGGTATGGTGGCTCTGGACTGCAATCCCAGCACCTGGGAGATGGAAGGAGGAGGGTTGCTGCAAGGTTAAAGCCAGCCCAGGTTACATAGTAAGTTCCAGGCCAGCCTGTGATACAGAGTGATACAGTGTCACCAAAACAAGAATAAGAAATACAAAGCATACTCTGAAACTTATAAAAAAAATAAACTCCTGAGAAGGCATCAGAGGTAGTGTTTCTTAACCTTAAGGTAAGGAAAGACCCAGCTGGAAAGAAGCAGTACATAACACGAGAGTAAAATGATATCACTAGTGAATGATTGTGCAAAGAAGTCCCATAGATAGTTCTAGCTTACATCACGCTGACTGAGGAAAGTGCTAATGTAAACATTCAGGAAAGCATGTTTTAACAGAAGACTGAGGCATGCAGTAAAGATGTGTGTGCCTACTGTAAAATATGTTTCTCTTACGATAGGAGGCACAGTATCTACATCTAACAAGAAATCCCAGTTGGAACAAAGAAAGGAGCCGTGGACTGTAGGTCTACATTCTTCAAGTAAGAGGAACAGTATCTTGCGAAGCAACTACTTCAAGGAGAAGTCGGTGCATGCTGTTCAGATCCCTGCAAGGAATGCAGGGAAAGCATGGCGAGAGCAGCAGCAGTGGGGTTTAGAAGATGAAAAAATCGCAGGTGTGCACTGGAGCTATGAGGAAACCAAGACTTTTCTTGCAATTCTCAAGGAATCTCGCTTTTATGAAACACTTCAGGCTTGTCCCCGAAACAGCCAGGTATATGGTGCTGTAGCTGAATGGTTGCGAGAATGTGGCTTCCTCCGAACACCAGAACAGTGCCGGACCAAGTTCAAAAGTCTTCAGAAAAGTTATCGAAAAGTGAGAAATGGCCACATGCTAGAACCCTGTGCCTTCTTTGAGGACATGGATGCCTTGTTAAACCCTACAGCCCATGCTTCATCTGATAACCCAAAGGCCATGATCTCTCTCCCCGGGCTAAAGAGAATTGGTATCAGTGCCAAAGAACAGGTCAGTTTGTTGGAGGAGGAAGAAGGAGCTGATGAGTCTGATGGTGATGAAGTGAGCGTTGAGTTTATTCGCAAGTCTGAAATTCGTGCTGCCCCTGTCTTGTTTCAAAACCTGAGTGGTAAGAATTGCACCTTTTTTCCTGGTATGGAAACAGAAGTATAGTCTTGTGGAAAATGTAGTAGATTAGACTAATCCTAGGGAAGGCTGTCACACTCCTTGCTGCTTTCACTGTGATGTGACCCTGCAACTGAAAGGTATTCGTTGCTGTCCCCAGTGCAACCTGAGTTGCCTGGTGGAACTTTTTTCTGTTTAGGGCATAGCCTGAAATTTAAATATTTGAGACCTTGAGAAGGAAGGTAAATGGAGCTAAAGAATTCTAAGTGTCTAGTGTTATTTGAGAATTAGTATAAAGCGATCAGTTATATCAGATTGTAGTAAGGATGCATTATTAGTTCATCCAGTATAATACAGTCCATCCAGTAACTAACAATGTAAAGGAGTAGAGAAAATGAATTAGAAACTTTTGCCCAATGTAAAAGACAGGAAAGGAAAGGAAATAGAACACAAAAAGAGCTAGGTATGGTAGCTGTAATCCCAGTACTTGGCAAGCAGAAACATCAAGAGTACACAGCTAACCTGGGGTACATAGCAAGTTCCAGACCAGGCTGTGCTACATAGCAAAACCCTGTCTCTAAATAAATAAGTAGAAAAACAAGAGTAAGGTGGCAGAGACAAATTCAAATATGTCACTAATTACAAACTTACAGAACTAAGACTGACACATTTTAAAAGCCAGTTATACCTTGCTTATCATAGGAGCTACATCTTAAATAGAACACAGTGACATTAAAATAAAAGGAGACTAGGCCTGGTGGAACACACCTATAATCTTAGCACTCAGGACCTGACAGAGGATTGTGAGTTAGAGATCAGCCTGAGCTATACAGTGAGGCACTGTCAAAAAAGATTGAGAAGATGAGCTGGAGAGATGGCTTAGCAGTTAAGAGCACTGGCTGCTCTTGCAGAGGACCTGGGTTCGATTTCCAGCATCCACATAGCGGCTACCAACCATCTTTTACCCCAGTTCCAAAGGAATCTTGCCACCCTCTTCTGACCTTCATGAGCATTGCACAACATGGTTGCACTTACATACATGCAAGCAATACATGCTTACACATAAAATAAAAATGATAAATTGAAAAGACACACCATACAAAACAATTTAGTGTTGAATATTTGGGGCCCAAAACGCACAAAGTGCCTATTAATATCTGTGTGATAACAAATGCATCATTTAACTCTACTGGACTTCAATTTTCTCCCCTGTAATATATGTCTAAGAATACCTCACAGGGTTATTACTGGTGTTCAGTGGGGTATACAGGGGAAGGTCTTCTAAAAAGGCTAAATACAGTCTTGTTTGGCATCACTGTTACTAGTAATGTTTTTCCTATGCCACTGTATTAAAGATGAGAAATTCCTCAGTATAATGGAAAAAGTAAATCATCTGGGAGTTTATTGATGGTGACATATGTTTAAAATAAGCAGACGTGCTGAAAATTAGGATTGTCATGCATATACAGCTATTCACCAATCTGAAAATCCATAAACATGAGGTAAGGCTTTTAGGGGTTGGTCTAAAGTACGGGAATCCAATGATAAGACTGAAAAAGCCCATCCAGTAAAGACTAAGGATAGAAATCACTTGTCTAAAATGCACAAAAAGCATGTTTAACAAACTATACTGAGAGAAAAGAATTATTCTGCTGTCAGTGTCACACAGTCATACCATCTCTCAAAATAGAGGCTTTAGTGAGTTCTGAGTGACTTCATAAGTACAATAGCCATGTCATGTTCAAAAGACAGCATTTCACTGTACCGCATTCCTCCCCGAACAGGGCTTTTATGCACTTTACTTTGGGTTTTTTGTTGTTAATTTTATGTGTATGAGTGTTTTGCCTGCATGTATGTAAGGACCACATGTGCACTGGTCATGGAGGCCAGAAGATGGCATCAGAGCCCTAGAACTGGAGTTAAGGACAATTGTTAGCCACCATGTGGGTCTGGGTCCTCTGCAAGAGCAACCAATGCTCTTAACCACTGAGCTATATTTCATTTTTTTATGTGTATGAGTGTTTTGTTTGCATGCATATACGTACCACATGCATGCAGGGACCATCAGAGGCCAGAAGAGAGTATTGGATCCCCTGAAGTAGAGTTACAGATGATTGTGATCTGCCATGTGGGTGCTGGGAACTAAACCTAGGTCCTCTTCAAGAGCAGCACAAGTGCTCCTAACCACTGAGCCATCTCTCCAGCACCATTACTTTTGGTTATGTGTGACTCCTTTCTTATGTCTTTGAACTTTTTTCTTGAATGGCAGGTGTACATTGGGGCTATGAAGAAACCAAAACTTTTCTTGATATCCTTCGCGAGACTCAATTTTATGAAGCACTTCAAGCCTGTCATCGGAAGAGCAAGTTGTATGGGGCTGTAGCTGAACAACTTCGAGAGTGTGGTTTTCTCAGAACACCGGAACAGTGCCGAACCAAGTTCAAAAGCCTTCAGAAGAGTTACCGCAAAGTGAAGAATGGCCATGTGCTGGAATCCTGTGCATTTTACAAGGAGATGGATGCCTTAGTTAACTCTCGGGCATCTGCCCTTTCCACCAACACTCGAGAAGAAATCTCATCACCTTCAAGACAAGAAAGAGAACATATTGAGGTTGAACCCCAAGAACCTACAATCTGGGAACCCGAGGAGACATCACAGGATTCTGGCACTGAGAAAATGAGTGAGGAGGAAATTATAGAAGAGCCAGAATTTCAGGGCCCTACAGGTCGACTGCAAAGCCCAGCTGGTAAGGATCATCAGGGCTTTGGGTTCAAATGAGAAGAAGGGGTGACTTACTGAAAAATCAGTACATCTGGCACATGGCTCATGCATATTTAATTCACTCAGCAGATACTTGAATGGTCTGTGCTGTTTGAGGAACAGGGAAGAAGCAGTGGGTAAAACAGCTCCTATTCTCTTGGTGTTTTTATTACAAGGAGGAGCTCAGCTGCTCACCTACTGTTGACTCAGTCTTTGGGGCATCAGCCTTGGTTTTTGTCTTTGTATGTCACTTAGTGTTTTACATCTTCTGTAAATACCGTAGAGAAGAATGCGAGATTCTGCCTAAGAAAATAAGTTGGAGGGGAGGATCAATAAGCTGAAATCAGAAACATCTTACAGTTATGTGTAATAAGCCTGATAAAAAGGATTGGCAGAGACAAAGAGGCTTTCTTCTGGACCTGAGCTCCATCAGCATATCTCCCTCTGGCTGCTGGATGTCCTTATTGGCATCTCACCACTAGCACAAGTTTAAAATGTTAAACTAAAACCCTACAGTGTTCTTTAAAGATTATTTTAATGCCTCCTCATTTAGCAGTTACATGCAGGCAGATGACATGGCTTACCCAGTGGACTATCACTTCTGCCTATCTGTGCTCTAATTGCCATAGCCATTACATTATGCTAGTTCAGTCATCTCTCTTTCTTGCCTAGACTACCATAAAAATCTCAAAACTAGATTTCCTTATCTATGCTTTAAGAAAAAAAAAAAAAGAAAAGATCCCAGGCTGGAGAGATGGCTCAGTGGTTAAGAATACTGACTGTTCTTGCAGAAGACCCGGGTTCAAATCCCAGCACCCACATGGCAGCTAACAACTGATCCTGTTCCAGGGGATCCAGCAGCCTCTTCTGTCCACGGGCATTGCATGACATCCGTGCACTTACCTACATGCGGGCAATACACGCATGCACATAAAATAAAAATAATAAATATTTTTTTTAATTTTTTTAAAAAAAGATCCCACTGTGTAGCCCCAGGCTGACCTGGAACTGGTGATCCTCTAGTCTCTTGAGTTCAAGGATTACAGGGATGTTCCACCCTGCCCAGCTTAACTCTGTTTTGATTGGGGCTTTGTAGCCATCCTTAACCTGAGCTCATCCTATTGTTCAAGGTGTATATGCTAGTATTTTCTTTCTCTATGCTTATTTGAAACAAAACTATTTGCTATGTCCTACATGCTCCTTAAGCTCTCTAACATCTAAATCCAGGGCCCATGATCTTCCCTCCACCTTGAACAAACTTGGTATATATATATATATATATATATATCTGCATGCTAAATTCTTTCAACTCCCATGCTTTGTCTTATGACACCAAAACTTGTATGTCCTAAAACCAACCACCCTTCCAGTTGGCAGTGAACTCCTGAAGGATGGGAGCTCTATCTTTCTATTGCCACAGGATGCATTAGAATATGACGTGGTACCCAGTGACTTCTTGAAGCCAGTGTTTCTAGTTTGTCTGAATTGATTGTGGAATTGAGGCCTAGTAAGAATGTCTAGGTACAGCAGAATAGGGATTTCATATGTATGGTCTCGGAATATTTATATGACAAATTATAAAAATTAGGTCTCATATGACTTCAGTTTTAATAACTGTAGAAACAAAGCCCCTATGAAACTCATTCTTAAGATGACCTCCAGAACTATAATCAAATTACCAGGTTCTGTCAGAGTCTACTGCTAGACTGTGACATCCTCTAAATCCCAGAACAATGTTGGATGTAATAAGAAAGCCTCAAATAGCATTGTCAGTTTCTTGTGTAAGCAACAGAATTGACTGATGTCTGCCCTTCACCCATGCCACAGCTACCCCATTTACCAGCAGTTTCACCTGAATGTGTGGAAGAGAAGTAATATTGAAACCTATAAGCAGAAATAAGATTGTACAGCACATGCATTAAGAACAAGAGTTTGGGAATCAAACAAACCTGGACTGAACCTAACATATTTAGCTTGTGAAGTATTTATGGAAGACAGTTATTATGTCTTCTAGAATTTGCATCAAAATAGTCTGGGTAGCGAGCGGGGTGGGGTATAGGAATAGAGATGAAATTAGATTAGTCATGACTATATTGTTAAAGGTAAGTAAGTTGTTTGGGGCGTTCTTTATACATATTATACTGTTTATTCTATGTATGTGAATTTCCCATAATTAAAAGTTCATAACAAAAACACAGTTAAGAAGTGACCAAAGCTGGGCACATGCTTTAATCCCAGCACTCAGAAGGTAGAGGCAGGCAGATCTCTGTGAGCTTCGGGCTAGCCTGGTCTACATAGTGAATTCCAGGCCAGCTGGGGGTATAGGGAGACCCTGTCTCAAAAAAATTTTTTTAAGTGACCAAGATGGGGCCAGAACCAAAACTTTCATTCCAAAGCTTGTATCTTTCTTCACCACATCATGTTCTATATCTAGAAAATTCCATAGAGATACTACAAGATATCTTGTGATTATGGGGTGTAATGAAAAAGAGAAAAAAATTACCGTTTTAGAAGCAGTAAAAATGAATATTTGCATTATTGTAGTCCATGGAGAACCAGAAAAACACAGCTATAAGAATATATGATTTAAAAAGTACTCTAAAACTAGAACTTGACTAGTTATTGAAGAATTTAGAAATCTCTTGAGGAATTTGGACTTGTTCACTAGAATTTACTCATAGTGTAATATATTTTAATATAATGTGAAATGAAGAAAACAGAGTGAGTTAAAATTTCAAGGGGATAAACCAAGTTGATTCTGTGTTAATTAGGTTATGGATAGAGAATGATAACTTTGATTACATTTCAGTTTAAAAAATATTTTGAAGGCCTACCCTGTATCAGTGTTACTACCCTGTTTGTGGAACTGAAAGAAGACACAGTATGATGAATCAGTCAAGTCACTGGATGTATGACCCATGAGCTTTAAAGGAATCATAAGGTGCCAGACCTTGTAGGCCTGATTAACTGTTTATGTTAATATTGGAGTTTTGTGAAATTTTATTGTCATTTCCTTTTTCCAGATTTTGAAACTGGAAGTAGTATTAAGGAAGACCCATCACAGGTAATGTATAAGGACACAGAGCCCCATAGGGCATTAATAGAAAAGTCTAAACGGTCTATTTCCCAGAATACTGATCCTAGCAAATACTGTAAGAGGGAATGCATCTCAGGAAGACAATGGGAAAATTTTCAAGGAATTAGACAGGGAAAGCTGATGTCACAGCCTAGAGATACAGGCAAAGGTGTGGTACATCAGAGGCCTTTTATGGGTAAGAGGCCATACAGACTTCTAAAGTATGGAGAAAGCTATGGAAGGAGTGCCCGTCTTATGTGCCGGATGACCCACCAGAAGGAGAATCCTTACAAGTGTAGTGTCTGTGGGAAGTGCTTTGGTAGAAGCAGGAGCCTGATCAGACACCAAAGAATCCATACTGGAGAAAAGCCTTTCAAATGTCTTGACTGTGGGAAAAGCTTTAATGACTCCTCAAATTTTGGAGCCCACCAGAGAATCCACACTGGAGAGAAGCCGTACAGATGTGGGGAATGTGGGAAATGCTTCAGTCAGAGCTCAAGTCTTATCATCCATCAGAGAACCCACACAGGTGAGAAGCCTTACCAATGTGGAGAGTGTGGGAAAAGCTTCACAAACAGTTCTCATTTCAGCGCCCATCGTAGAGTTCATACAGGAGAGAATCCCTACAAATGTGGGGATTGTGAGAAGAGCTTCAATAACTGCACAAGATTTCGAGAACACCGGCGAATCCACACAGGAGAGAAGCCCTACACATGTGCTCAATGTGGCAAACGTTTCAGTAAGAGCTCTGTCCTCACCAAACATCGGGAAGTTCATGTGAGAGACAAGCTACTGCCGTACTCTCCCTCTGTGTACTCCCCAGAGAACCTGCTGAAGGGGAAGAGTAATGAGTTCAGGAAAGCTTTTTGACAGTGAGCTTGTCTCTCTCCACTTGTCCCTTTAGTCATCTTATCCTAGTCTCACTCTTGGAAGCAATCTTCTCTTAGCTATAAAAGTGCAGTTCCCATGGCAAGCTCGAAAACAACAAATAAGCTAGACTTCCATCCTGTTCTCAGCTCTGCCTGTCTCCTATATGTATTGATTTCTTTAGTAATGTGAAAATGATAGGGTTTTTTTTAAGTTAGAATAAAATTCTCTCCAGAATGTTGAGGCCAATGCTATCAAATTGCTGAGTTCAGCAACTTTCAAAATCCTTCCATGTGGGTAAGAACTCTTTTCAGAAGTGTGGATGCTGAAAATTTTTTAATGGTGTTATCGCCTACATGAGATCCTGAAAACAACTTGATGGTGGATTTTCATATCCAAGTAGAACTTTCTGGAGTGTGATCAGAACTATATCGGATCTCCATCTTGGTTTTGATGATAGAAAAAGAGATTGAAGATTTTTATCTTCCTTCAGAAGGCTCTGTGTCAAGACATTGATCCAAATAGCTAGGATAGAATTCCCTGTGTTGTCACTGGTCACATTGCTAATGCCTAGTCCTCCACTGAGAGAAGCACTTGCTTGCCCATCTTTTCCTGTTCCTAAAGACTTAACTCCAAGTGGCTGCTGCTTCTCCAGCTACAAACAATCCCAGCTTCTTTTACTGTTCTCACAAATCTTCTATTTACCTCTTAATTGTTCTGGGTGCTCTTGTCTGACTCTTCTGAACTACCTTGCCCTACTCAGCTGGGATAGGATGCATGCTCTTGCTCTCATTAAAATAAAGTAAGATTTCAAAGTCTAGTTCTACCCCACCTCTTCTCTGACTCTTATCTAGAACAAGACTGATATGTTGACATATTTCATACTTTCCAGCTCCACTTTTCAATATGATAGTGTTTCTAAGAATTTAAGACCATAAGGAATAATGAGATAGAGACCTGAAATATTTAATGGACTCCTTGGGTCTGCTTTAGATCAAAGAGCTACCTCAGTCCACGGTTGGCTGTTAGATATATCAGTCCCTGCTTTGAAGCATCTAGTTCTTTTCAGAGGATCATAAACCTAACTATAGAGCCCCAAGTAATTACACAGCTCTATAGCTCACTCAGTGAAAGTAGAAATATTTATGTAAACTTCTAACTGCATTTTTCCCCATTTTCCTATTCATCTGAAAAAGTTTCTTGGATAATCCTCTGGTAGTAACCAGGTAAATACTGGCAGAAAATTTCAGATATGGGGATGGTTAACTCATGTAAATACAGATGAAACCCAGGAATTCGATCTTCAAAAATCAGTAATTTGAGGATGAGGCCAGTGGCATTAACACCTTTAATACATAAGTAACCCAGTGTAGATTTTCTTTAGGAAGGAAGAAGTCCCAAGTTTAGTGGAACAAGAACCAGAATCACGATTGTGTTGTCTAAGTTATTTTTTCTCCTTTTGTCAAATGCTCTCTCATTTAAAGACATCTAGAGATATTTTTTATTTGAATATATTCCAATCATTTGAAACCTGTTCAACAAAGTATCAAGGAGGATAGGCACTGTAGAAAGAAACCCAGTTTATGGTGCCAGCATAGTATATAGCCTGTTAGAAGGCAAGTGACTCAGGTAAACACTAATAAATGTTTGTGATGTGTATTTGTTGGAAATATTATGATTGTTCACATCTCAGTAATTTATTTCCTGTTATCTGAATTACAGACTTCTAAAGATATGTGCAGCTACATGTTGGTACTGTGCCTAGACCAGTAAAATTGTGTGTGGTGCCAGTGGCCTTGTGCTTATAATTGTGTAGATGTTCTGAAATTTCAGCTCTAGAGAAGATGCACATTAATATAAATTATTATTTAGTAATATGTACACCAAATTGGTAATTATATGGAAGCATGATTCAGGAAAGTAGATGACTTACTCCTAAATACTTAAATAACTTATGTATAAGACCATGTTTGTAGCCACAATGAGCGATTTAAAAATGATAAGGGGTAGGCACTGTGACTATACTCCAGTAACTTACAATACAGAGGAGGTATTATAGCAAAAGATAAAGCAAGTTAAACCTAAAACCATCTTTGGTACCATTCTTTATACACTTCCCCAGTGGTAGGTAAGTGTTCTGTCTCCAGCAGACAATGATTCTCTCCTGTGTCTAAAATAAAAGGGGTTTGAGTTCCCCTACCTATAATCCTAGTTATAAATGAGCTGTTTGAATTCATGTACTGGACCTTATCTCAGTTATTAAAAAATAGATTTACCCACCATTTTAGACAGCATGCTTGTTTACATGTGTTTCTTTTTTCAGCTGATATATGAAAGTTCAAATGGATAATTATGTCTGAGTAATGCATCTTTTTATCATGTAGCATTGTCTTTATGGTGATCCATAAGAGAATTTTTTTCCAGATCTCAGAACCAGGGTTATCTGCTCCTGAGGATGAAAAAAAAACATGTTTTTATCTTACACTGTGATTTTGTAACTTAATGCTTTTCCCTCATTGTTCTGACTGCTAGAAAGCTCAACAAAACAGTCCACCTCAACCAACTACCTAAGCCTGTATTTATTTTACTTTGTCATATTTCTTTGGAGAGTATCTCAAATCCTTTTTGAACAATAGTTCAAAAAGACACTTATTAGCATCCCACCCAAGACATTTTAGAAGTGGGGCTCATATTTCCTGCTTAGCCTTTCATTGACTCCCATGAATACCTCGCTAATTCTTACTGGTGATTTTATTATATGTTCAACCTAATTTACTCATTTGGAAAGAAATGTAAATTTCTGTAAAGAAGTCTCATACATATATACAGCTCAGGGCAGCCTGTCATTGAGGAATGAGTATTAGACCAGAAGCCAAGAAATATGTTTTAGTATTGTCGTTACCAGTTGCTGAGAATTATTTGACAAATCATAGCTTCCCTCTTTCTGAGTAGTTAACTTACGTGCCAGGATTGCTCTTGAAGCCATGGAGCATGGTTCATGGAGAAATGAAGAAGAACTTATAAGACCATACTACCTCTGGGCGATAATCCACCTCACGCTTAGAGAAGGTGACGACAAATCCAGCCCAACTTGCTCAGTAGGGAGGAAGAACAAGCCACTTGTGTTGAGCAGCAGGAAGGCCTTCCCCCCCTTCCTGTCACCCTGATAGCCAAAGGCAGGTACCTGAAGTGAGGAAAGTATTTGTGAGCTCCAATGCCCAGTGACAGACAAGACTCGCGGATTGTGAAGCTGGGGAAACCCCAATGGAAGGAGCAAGAGGAGTGATGTGTATGGTCAGAAGTCTCTGCCTCTGCCTGAATCCATTCCAAGACCAAGTATAAATGGATGTCTGTCCATCGTTTTGTACTAATATTCACTTAGCTGTCTTCTTGAAAACTTGTATGTGAAATAATGTCCACAATAAATGGCTAGCTTTGGTTTGCCATAATTTGAAGGACGTCTTTATTAAGAAAAGTGAAAATTTAAGAAGTCAAAGACTAATCCTAGTAACTAGTAAAGCGCTGTCCTCCATAGCCAGGAGATAGAATCCACAGCCATTCTGTATAGCAGTCCTCTGAACTGTCATAATAATAATACTTGCCCATGTAATGGTCTTCTTTACTGCCAGGGTAAAATTGATGTTGGATAGGCATGTTACATGTGCTCCACACCAGCCTAACCATGGAAGAAATCCTGGCAGTTTCCTCAAAGATACAGTTGTAGGAGATGAAGACTTTATTCACTTAGGGTCTCCTGCTGCACCTGAGGAATAAATTAACATAAATCACATGGCAGGAAACAAGTATACAAAGTTTTGTGTGGACATGGCAGTCTCCTCAAGAAAAAAAGGCCTAAGGGAGTAGCAAAACCTAAGAACTTGTCTACCAAGTGGATTAAACAGAAGCAGTTATGCAAAATAACTAAAATACATGGGAAGACTAATGGAAGACAAGTAATTTTAACAAGGTTTGTATAAAATTCTCTCAGCCCCAGTTCCCTAATTCATAGGGAGAACATCTCTCACCTAGGAATTTTCTGCTTTGGAAGAGAACAACTCTCTTGCACTAGCTGTTGTTTAAGTGCCTTTAGCTCAAAACCTACACCAAAAGGGATGCTGTCTTTGGGGATAGCAAATTCTATCATTTTCAGTGTTACACTTTTCCAGTTTGAGAGAAACAAAGTCTATCCAGTCCAGACTGGCCTTGAACTCTTCATCCTCCCACCTCAGCCTAACTGCTGAATCTGCAAGTCTGTACTGCCATGCTTGGTGCACTGTTGAGTTTGAGCCACCGATTTGGTAAAAAGGAAAAGCTTCAGTGGCTTCCGTGTATTCCTTCTGAACAATAGCACATCCATGGAATATAGAATCAGTGTACAGATTATGCTACTTACTAAGTGCTTATTTCCAGTTATACACGTAGGAACTGTGGTAAGAACTCTAGGATGGCTCAGCCATAAACAAAGTAGATTCCAAAGGGCTTCTATTGGCTAGACTTCACAAGTTCTGTTTTATGCAACGACCTCAGTACTAAAGGACTTGAAGAACTTTACTGAGTACTATTTATAGACTGTTGGTATCTAGATGAGTCTCTATAGTAAACTGCCGTAAATCTTTTTAGAAAGAAAAGACCAGAATAAAGGCTCATAATACTCATATATAGCATTATGGCAGAGCCCTTCCACTAGTTATATGAGCCCTTTCACAGAGTTAACTGAGTGACTCAGGTCTGGAAATTGAAAGTGAGACTGAATATCTAAGGGAGGAAAAGACTAACGGTTATAAAGTTTCAATTCCTGTAAGTCAGTTGAGACAATTAGACTTTAAGGAAGGAGAATAGCTATGTGTTTTAAGCACTAATAGGAACATAACCGCAAACCCCCAAATTCCTTGATGGGTCCAGGAACTTGGAGAGGAAACCATGGTTTAGGGTTCTAAGACCAGCAAATTCTTAAACTCACTCTGAGGCAGTAAGACTGAAGGAAAAGTGGTGGTATGTGTAGAGGATCTTGGGTTCCAAGAGGAGAGGAGAGCCCCAGAAGTCCTTAAGGGTTGCATGACCATAGAGCTCACAGTACACAGGTGTGCTGGGCATGGACTGTAGAATTCCAATAAAGGAGCCCAATTCCAAGAAATGGCTCTGATGGGAACAAGTGTGACTTCACTAGAGGGGATACTGTTTCTAAGAACCACATTTCCAGTAGCAGTGCCTACAAGCAAAGGTGCAAATTAATACACTTCCAGCCAAAATATTTGCACACTTCCATTTTGGGTTGCTTACTCTCCCAGAATTCCTGCATAGTATAGTGAGGGAGAAATGATATAGTGTAATGCTAGGCTGTCCACCAACATGAGACAGGGTCTCCCTGTAGCTCCAGCTGTCCTGAAACTCACTGTGTAGACCAGGCTGGCCTTGAACTCACAGAGATCCATCTGCCTCTCTGCCTCTGCCTCCCGAGTGCTGGGTTTAAAGGCATGTGCCACCACACCCAGCTGAATCAATACTTTTATCCAAGGCTTTTGGAGGAACCATAGACTGAGCCCCAAACCACCTATTCTAACTGATCTCTCATCAGTTAATAGATTTTTTTTAGCCTGATTGACTTTGGAGGGTAGATAAGATGAAAGGTTACCCACCTTCTCACCCATGAAAAGCATTAAGATCCTTATCTGAGAATTTATTGAGAAAACGTCCAATTTAGAAACTTGTGACCAAAAGTCTACTCCCTTGCCATGATGATTCTGATACTTGAAACTGTAAAACCTTTGATTATGTAGCAACAATAAGTACAAATGCTTAGTGTCCTTACAATGTATTAGGCATTTTGCTAATACTTCATAAACATTATAAGCATTCTGAGATAGTGTATTAGTTATTTTTCCTCATTACTGTGAAAAAATACCTGACAGGAATAAGTGGAAAAGGTTCATGTGGGCTCACAGCAGAAGCAGCTCCCACTGCGGGAGTATCCAGCATCAGGGCTTCACAGCACGGCAGGCAAGAAGCAGTACAAGCTGAAACTGAATGTGGATATAATCTTCAAAGGCCCTTCTCTAAATACCTTCTGCCAGCCAGGTCCCACCTCCTGAAGGCTCTACAAACTCCCCAAACAGCACTAGCTGTGAACCAATGATTCAAACCCATGATCCTGAGAGGGACATATCACATTCAAACTATAGCATTCCACTCTTAGGCTCGTGGCCAGCTCATAATGCAAGTGTATTCGGTCCATCTTCAAGAATCCAAATAATAAGAGGTTCAACACTATTCAGAAGACCAAGTTTCTTCTGAAGCTCAAGGAAAACAACTCAAGAACAGGTTACATATTTCCAGTACACAATGGCAGAAAGTAAGCATTACCATTCTAAAAGAGAAAAATGGGAAGACAGCAAGGAAAGATCAAACCAAAGCAAGTCCAAAACCCAGCAGGACAAACATTAAATCTTGCTACCTCATGGCCAACATCTAGAATGTGTGGTGTATCATCTGAGCTCCAACAGACATGGGCAGCCCCACTTTATTGCCCTGACATTTGCAGCACATGTGGCCTGTCTCTCAGGCTCCACTCAGTGCCTGCAGCTTTCCTCAATGTCCCATGTTTCTGGTATCTCCAACTTTTTTACTTATTTTTTAATGTGTATGAGTGTGTTGTCTGCATGTGTGTTAGTGTACCCATGTCATGCATTGCCCATGGAGGTCAGAAGAGCATCAAATTCCCCTGGAGTTGGAGTTAAAATTGTTATCCACCTTGTGGGTGCTGGGAATTGAACCCGGGTCCTCAGTAAGAGCAATCAGTGTTCTTAACCACTGAGCCATCTCTAGCCCCAGTATCTCCAACTTCTTATGGCCTCCACTGAACCTGACAGGACTTATGTAGCCTGAATATCTAAACTATTCACATTCCTTCAGTAAAGCAGTCCCAGATTCCTAAGAACCACGTGGGTTAGACGTAATCACAGTAACAGTCCCACTTCTTGGTACCGATTTTCTGTATTTGTTATTTTTTTCATCTCTGTCATGACATACCTGGAAGAAACAACTTAAGGGAGCAAAGGTTTACATGGCTTCAGTTTCAGAGAGACTTTATTATAGCAGGGAAGGTATGGGTGGGATGGTGAGGACATGGTGGGGTAGTCCTGTGGCAGTGGGAGCATGTGGCAGTCTCCTAACATTTTAACAAACAGGAAGGCAAGAACTTTGGGCAAAACCAGAAGCAGTTATATCCTTCAGGGCCCACCTCTGATGACCTACTTCTGCCAGCTGAGCCTCATATCCCAAAGGTTCCACAGTCTCCCAAAACAGTGCCTCTACTATTTTGTTTGACCAAGTATTCAAATGTGAACCCTATGGGGGAATATTTTACATTTAAGCCATATCAGATAATTTCATTTTAGAAATGAAAAGTTAAATTGCTTTTTCAATCATATATAGTAAAAAAAAGTGACAGTTTTGGTATTTAAAATTACAGCTTTCTTAGATTCCAATATCATAGCCAGTATATTTTGCTATTATAATAGTATTTCTTTTTAAAACTTTTAAACTATATTTTAGTGTATGTATTTACTTGTATATATGTGTGCATACAGAAGTCAGAGGACAACTTGCAGTAGTAGTTTCTCTCCACCATATGTGTCCTTGGTATTAAACTCAGGTCATTCAGTTTGGTGGCATGCACTTTTACCACTAAGCAATCTTGCTGGACCTACAATAGTTTTCTATAGTAGTCTAAAATTCTCTGGCCTCCTGTTCCTGAGAAAATGGAAGGTGGACTGGAAGTGAATGAACATATGTGATCTTGTTCCTCTTTGGACTTGAGGATCGGGATGAATTTGGGAATCACTGAAATAATTTCCCAAAAGCATTCATGTCCATTCAGAACTTTAAAATGTGACCTTGTTTAGAAATAGGGTTGTTGTAGATGCAATTAAGGCAAATACCAATATGAGACCATACCGGACTAGGATGGCCATAAAAGAGATTGAAAATGAGTCTCAGGAGTTCTTGAGAGTGCCACGAGAGGATGGAGGTGGAGGTTGGCATACTGCCACAAACCTGCAGAAGAGCCAGGAACTGAAAAAGACAAGGAATGACTTTCCTCAGAAGCTTGAAGGGGCAGTAAGATGGCTCAGCAGGCAAGGACTCCTGCCACCGACTGACAACCTGAGTTCCAGCCCCAGAGCCCACATGGTAGAAGACGAGAACCAATTCCCAAGAGTTGTCCTCTGGCCTACTCGTGCACACTGTGGCATGTACACACACACACGGCTACTCTTGTGCACACTGTGGCATGTACATACACACATACACATGGCTGTATGGTCTTAAACACCCAAAAGGAAAGTATGACCAAAAAATAAAGTGATCAGTATATTTTCTAAGAGTTAAAGGGATTACACTTCCCAGACATTAGACAATTATTTC